TTTTTCCAGTTGACTCTGGATGTTGACCAGTTTCTTGGTTGGGAAATCAAACTCGACGACGGGGACGCGCGCCTCCTTCAATTGAGAGAGAAACCCGACTTCATTGGGCTGTAAGAACATCAGACTCCTTCCTTTGGCGTTGCTTCCGCGAGCGGTCCGTCCCACTCGGTGGATGTAGTCCCTCGGATCATCCGGCGGGTCGAACTGCACGATCCAATCGACGCTGGGGATGTCAAGGCCTCGTGCCGCCACGTCCGTGCAGATCAACGTGCCGTGGCTGGCGTTGATGAACTCGAAGAATGTATTCGTGCGCTTTTGCTGTTTGAGGTTGCCGTGGAGTTCCAGCACGGGAAGGTCAATGTAGTTGAGGAGTTCGCAATGGTACTTGACGCAATTGCACGAGGACATGAAGACGATGATTTTCTTCTTCAGGTTGCGTTTGAGGAAGGAGAAAAGCAGGAGGAAGCGCGTCTCGGGGGGCACGATAACGTAGCCTTGCTCGAGGCCGGAGACGGTGCTGGCCTCGGACTTGTGGTCCACGTTGATGTACAGCGGGCCCGGGCGGAGGGATATGCGCGCCAGGTCTTCGACCTTTGTCGTCTGAGTCGCGGAGAAGAGCATCGTCTGGCGGGAGTCGCGGTCCGGGAGGATCTTGACGATCTGTCGCATTTCGTCTTCGAACCCGACTTCGAGGATGCGGTCGGCTTCATCGATGACAAGCGCTTTGACATTCTTGTAGACGAACCCTTTTGTGTTCTGGAGATGGTCCAGCAAGCGGCCGGGAGTGGCGATCAAGAGATTCACTCCCTTGGAAAGCTTCTCGGCCTCGGCGCTACGGTTCGCGCCTCCGATCACGATCCCAAATGTTTGAGTGTGGAATTTCATGAGGTCGCGGGCTACGCCGAAGATTTGCAATGCGAGTTCGCGGGTTGGGGAGACGACGATGACGCCTGTGCCATTGCGGGGCTTGAAGCGCAGGGCGTGAAGCATTTCGACCGCAGGAATCAGGAAGGCGAGGGTCTTTCCACTGCCGGTCTTGGCCGCACCCAGGACGTCCCTGCCTGCGAGGAGCGGAGGAATGCCCCGGCGTTGTATCTCCGTCATGGAGGCGAAACCCATTTCCTGGATGGCCTTTGTGGTCTTTTCCGAGAGGTTGAGTTCGGAAAAGTTCTGCGGCGTGGTGTCTGTGCCTGGGAGGGATGGGGCAACGTCGGTGGGTAGGTCTGTTGTTTCGCGAGAAGTTGTTTCCATAGTGCCAATGGTGGGTTTGTCGTTGATGGTTTCTTCGAGCTCGGGTTCTGCATCCTCGCCATCGACTCCATCTTCATCGTCCGAGGGCTTCTCCCCCTCTGTCTCCGGCTCCAAGGTATTCATATCCTTGGGTGGTTTTTCTGTCTCACTCTCTCCTTCATCTTCGCTTTCGTGAGATGTTTTCCGCCTCTTTTTGCTCTTTTCTTGCAATTTCTTCGTGGCTGGAGGTCCTGGAGCGTCTAGAGCATTGGTTGCCAGCAGAGGGACCGCCGATTCTGCATCTGCGTCGGTGGGCCTCGTCCTCTTCCTCTTGCGCTTCTTCGATTTCTCTACCTGGGGCTCCATCGTGTTCGACATCTTGGGATCTTGTCCCTGCGCTGGTCGTGTGCTTTAGGTGCGGTGCGGAAAAATGGCTGAAGACAGCGAGGCTGGCAACAATTTTTCAGTTCGGCTTATCGATAAGGCCGAGGCTCGAGTCTAGCCGATTCCGGTCTAGACCAGGACTGTGGGATTGAATCACTCTGATTTGCTACACGAATCGCGACGCGCTCTGCAATGCCGCGAACGCGTCGCTGTTACCATTTATCATTCTGGTGATGCCAGACTCGATGCTCCGTCCTCCGTGCAGTTTTCTACAAAGGACCAAGACGTTGCTTTAGTGTCGCTGTCATTATGGGCATTAAGATGGCAGAGTCATCATCACCGCGAGCACAATCGCCCTCCCATGGTGAAGATCTGGATCTTCCGGATGCTCCACCAGTTCCAAATGGCGACCACAAGGACGAATCCATGGAAAAGAACATCGACCAGGCTCCTGTAGCACTGGAGGACCTGTTCGACGACGACGATGAAGAATTCGATCAACTCGCGAGCGATGCCAACATACCCTCCTCACCACCGCAATCGGCACCTACCTCGTCAGAGGAGGCTGCCTCGACCTCACAGCAAGAGTCGTATTCAGACTCGAATGTAATGCAACAGTTCTACGCCCGACTATTTCCCTTCCGCTCCCTTTTTCAGTGGCTCAACCACTCGCCAAAGCCTGGACCAGACTTCGCCAATCGAGAATTCGCGTTGACGCTCTCAAATGATGCCTATCTTCGATATCAGTCTTACCCCACAGCCGAAGCGTTGCGCAAAGACATCCTCCGACACGTTCCGTCTCGTTTCGAGATTGGCCCGGTCTACACTACGAACCCAAGAGACCGCAAGACCTTGAGAAAAAGTTCGATGTTCAAGCCGTTGAGCAAGGAGATAGTTTTCGATATTGATTTGACAGACTACGACGACATACGGTCGTGCTGCGAAAAGGCCAACATCTGTAGCAAATGCTGGGCTTTCGCAACAATGACCATAAAAGTTGTCGATGTGGCTTTGAGAGAAGACTTTGGCTTTGAGCACATCATCTGGGTTTACTCCGGTCGTCGTGGTGTTCACGCCTGGGTCAGTGATAAAGACGCAAGAGTGCTGGATGACGACAAGCGGAAGGCTATCACAGGTTATTTCGAAGTCCTGAAGGGCGGCGTACAGGGTGGGAAAAGGGTCAACGTCAAACGACCCCTCCATCCACATATCGCTCGAAGTCTTGAGATCTTGAAGCCATATTTCCAGCAAGTGTTAGTGGATCAAGAGCCGTTCAAGTCTGAAGCGGGACAAGCTCGCCTTCTGCAATTGTTGCCGGACAAGGCGTTGAACGAAGCATTGGCGAAGAAGTGGTCGAGCAGTCCCGCCCGAACAAGCATTAGGAAGTGGGAAGATATAGATGCCCTGGCCAAAACCGGAGTCAGCAAGACGTTGGATACGAAAGCCCTGGTCGAAGCAAAGCAAGACATCCTGTTGGAGTATACATATCCCAGATTGGACGTGGAGGTCGGCAAGAAGAAAATCCATTTGCTGAAAAGCCCCTTCGTGGTGCATCCTGGCACTGGAAGGGTGTGCGTGCCTATCACAGCGGGTGGGGATATGGCGCGTGCTGAAGCATTTGATCCGCTCTCTGTCCCCAAGGTCACTGAACTTCTCGCGGAAGTGGATCGTTATGGCAGTACTGATGGGGGCGACGAACAGACGAACGGATATATTGAGGATGGTGTCAGCATGAGGAAACTGAATGATTGGGAAAAGACCAGCCTGAAACCCTACGTCGAGTTATTTGATGGATTTGTCAGGTCAATGCTCAAGAGCGAAGTGGTTCGAGTCAAACGAGAACGGGATGATGATGGTATTACCGGAGCAAACAGCATGGAGTTTTGAGCGCGGCGACCCTTCTGCACAGCCTGCAGACTAGGCTTCGCATCTCACGAAGGACATGTCGATCTATTATCAAGTCAGCCAAATGTTTGCCTCCTCGTCCCGGATACCCTTCACAGTCCACAGTATCAGAAAATGCTTTCTCTGCATCGAGCAGCAGACGCTGGACGACCTGATGACCCGCCTTGCCTAAGCCGACTACCTTGACACCGGGATTCTAACTCGGTCCTGTTCAGGACGGGTTTCCACAAGGCGTATACAGTACGCCTTCGTCTTCGATACCAGAGGATCAGAAAGTCGTTTGGGCCGAAGTACACGGCTCTCAACAATATAATCTCGTGGACGAATTTGTCGTAAGCCAGTGCGGCTTACGAGGTACTTACCAACGAGTTACTTGCCGACGAGGTACCTATGTACTACGTACCAGGGCCGCCAAGAACGCCTATACAGTACGTAGCACGAAGTACGCTATCGGACATCCGGCTCGATTTCGTCTCCGGCCTTCCGCATGCTGCCCACGGCTCCCTATTACCCTTGTTGGCAAGGTTCAGCGACGACTTCGTACCAGCTTCGGTATACCGTATTTGTCAGCACCACGAATAACTCTCTTCCGAAGCCAGTAAATCCTGCGTCTGCACGGACTGTCTTCGAAGCAATTACTCTGTTCGATGTAAGCAATCACGGTGAAAGTCTCGGCCAAAGCCCAGTACTGGAATTATGTGATCTGCCCAGCTTGGCTCTTCAACGTCATGCTTGTACGCTGACGAGAACTGGGTCGCAGTTTTGGATAGTTTCTAGTAGTACTATCTAGACTACACGACCAGCAACGCTACTTGTGCAACATCTGGCATTATTTCCCCAGGCATTCAAAGCTATACTGTCATTATTGCGCTTTTATATTGTGGATCAGACTGCATCATCCATCATTGAAGTGGAAGACTCCGGTGCAGCGTAGCCTGCGTTAGCTAGGCCCCCGTCCATCCTGTCTCCGAGAACGAGCGCGACGTCGAGCTGTGCAGCTTGCAGACATGTCGCAAGCAATGTCACACCCTGTCAAGTCAGGCAATATGGCCCAGGTAACCGGAACTACAGATCGGTCCGCCAAGATTGCATACTGATTGGTGTTGGCCAGGCCTGTGATCTCTGCCGGGCGAAGAAAAGGCGCTGTGATCTGAAGGAGGGAGTTGAAAGGTGTTCCTCGTGTGCAAAAGCCAACTTGGTGTGCCGAATGACCCATGTCACCAAGCCTCGAGAGAAGCGGAAAAGGTTGGTCGCCATATCCAGTGCCTGAGTTTATTATCCGGGACCAGAAGCACGCGTGGTGTCCGAAGGGTGAAGATATCACCCAGAAATATTCAAGTCCCTGTGGCTGCGTCGAAATTGCAGACGAGCCGCCTTCTGCTTCAATAATCGTAGGCGAATAGCCCAAGCAACTCCACATTCTCTTCAAGCTGGCCAGCACTGAGTCATGGGTATCTCTGCTAACGAGCCGTAGAAAGCAGATGGAAAGCCTCGAGGAGCGTCTGAGGAGCCTGGAGCAGCTCATCAAAACTTCTGTTGCGGCACGGATGCCAGAGACCACGCAAGAACGACCCGGCGCCCTGACGCCGTCGTCAATTCCCTCCACAGCATCCTCTGTCGAGCAAAATTTGTTCGCATCGGATGCGCTACAGCCTGACATCTCATTGAGTAACATCAGGAGCAACAGTGGCACTTCACCGACGCTATTACAAGATCTCCACCTGGATCCATCGGGGACATCAGATCCCGACTTTCCGCCTTCGACAGACGAGTCTCAAGGCTGGGCCACGCCGGAAGCGACCATGTTCTATGGCCTCACTGCTCCTGCGCTGGCGACGACGGACGCTGAAATGATGCCTCAAACCCGGTACAATGGCCCGAAGAGATGCTCGTTACCGCCAGTTCAAGGAGGCATGTTCCTGCTTCAGGAGTTCTTGGTCGACTTCAATACGGCCATTCCTATCTTCGATGCGTCTGTTATCACCTCGCTCTTCCAGAGATCCTACGACAATATGGCTGCAGGCGTAGCGATCGAATGGGTCGCACTGAAGGTTGTTCTGGCTATTGCCCACCGCCTGCGGTCCATGAGCCCCATGGGTGTACCGCAAGACGCAGAGAATGCCAGCATATATCTACAAGAATCGCTGGAGGTGGTCCCGGAATTGCTCATGCTGCGTCCTTCGCCGCTTCTGGCCCAGTGCTTTCTAGGTATGGCGTCCGTCATTTCGACTTCCTCACGCCCTTACCCAGCACAGGTCTTTGTGAGCCTGGCCCTACGTGTCATTCAAGATCTGCACGTCAACGATCCCAGGAGACCCGGGTTAATAGACACCCCCGAGTTGCTCCAGCAGCAACGTGTGTTCTGGGTGGCGTTCTTTATGGATACAGATATGGCTGTGAGAGCTGGGCGGCTACCCGGCCTGAGTCCAAGACTCATAAATGTGCCACTACCGAGCGACGAGGACCCCGCTGGAGAGATTGCTGCCGAGGGCGGGCAATTCAAAGCCAATGTGTTCCGCTTGCACGTGGAGCTGGCTCTACTGCAGGCCGAATTTATGGAACAAGTATTGCTGCCCCCGGGCGGTCGAAGTTCTGAAAGTCTCGAAGACGCAGAGCTGCGGTCCATCAATGCCAGGCTGGAGGACTGGCGACGGAACTGGCTGTTCGAACTTGATGCACAAGATCTTCGTACGGCTTTGCACCGATCGGACCTGGTCCACGTGGTTTTGTTGGAGTCGACCTATTTCTCAACAGCCTACGCCTTCCGCGCTTATATTGCACCCGCTGCGAGGACGTGCCACAATCTCTTCTCTGCTGAGGGGTTGATGGAGAGAATGACGAAGCAGAAGGTGCAGATCCTGTACAAGGACGCGCGAAGGTTTATCGACCTCCTCGGATTGATACCGGGGGGTGATATCGCAAGCAACTGGTGAGTCCGACCTGGTAGACGGCAGCCTATTACTGTTCAGGAGTATTGTTCTGACCCAAGTATGCAGGTTATCGCTAGAAACAATCGTTTCGGCCTTGGTTGTCGTTCTGGCACATATTATATTCAACCCGACCGATGAAAGCTCGGTACTGGACCTGGGCGTGGGGCGGCACATGTTGCAGATTTTGCAAGAGTTAAGCAACATTAGCAAGGACGACAGCCTGCTGGCAGTGCAACGTCTCTGTGTTAATTTGTATCGGAGAGCGGAACGAACGCTGCAGGGTGAGAATCCCATACGGCGCTAGAAAGTAGTCGGTGGCATGGAGCATGAGTGACTATGATACCATTGCCCTCCATGACCAGTTTGTTACTGTATATCGCCACCACAGCCTGGCCCTCAGCATTCCACATTGAGTACAGAGGTTAGAGGCCTCGAGTTCCAGGACATTGTGCCAGCTCGTGGTCTGATCTCGCATTGGTCTGACTCCTCTATGCCTTTTGCCTAACGGATTTGAGCCCAGAGGTGGACGTTGCTGCAGAGCCCAGGCAGCTTGGCAGGCAAGCTCTTGAAGCCTATGGGCCCACCATGGGGCTTGGGGTGCACAGGGGGGGTTGACGAGGAGCCCCAAGCGTGGATTCCCCGCAACGATAGATTGGCCTCGGCCGCTGACTGACATCTAGCACCTCCGTGTACTTGACTAGTGGGACGCAATTTTGATGGCAACCCTCGATTGCGAGGATATCATCGAATAGAACAGGAACGACGACATATGGAATGTCAAATCAAGAACGCGAGTCCGCTCATTGACCCCATACCATACGATTGATCCAGCAGCATCCCAGCAGCTGGAACCCGGATGGAACAGATGTCGCCGAACATAGAGACGTCTGATGCTCAAGCGAAGCGGCAGACTAAACACGTCACGACCGCCTGTCTTGGTTGTCGAAGACGAAAGATCAAATGCGACGGCGTCAGTCCGCGATGTTCGAATTGCATCCTCTATGGACAGGAGTGTGTCTTCCAGCACGGCGTGGACAAACGCAAGATTGCCCCCAAGGAGAGATTACAAGCACTGACCAGCTATTGCCAAAAACTCGAGTCGCTCCTCATCGCCAATGGGATTGACCTTCCATCGCCCCCTCCCATGCACGTCCAGACTGATGTATATGGTAGCCGGGCCACAGGGTCAGGAGTGATGGAGAACCCCCTTTCCCACGGCGTCCCCTCCAGCACCGAGCAGCCAGAGTTCGCCGTAGCAGGATGGCCAGGTAAGGGATCCCATACCTGTGCATCGAAAGGACTGCTGAAACCCGCCTGCGAAGGAGAACGCAATGGCAACCGCGATGTGTCGTCAACGGCCGGGGCTCCCCCAGATGAAGCCTACTTCTACTCGGAGTCGTCTCCAGATGTACCTATTCCCACCGGCTCACATTCCGACACGGCCGCACTCGCAGGGACTGGCGAAGACATCCTCTTAGACCAACTCTCTGGGCGCATGGGGTCGTTGCAGATAGCCGAAGACGGCCAGCTACGATTCTACGGTGCCACCTCCAACTTGCACATCCTTCACAATGGCCCGCTGTCCTTGTCACGATCCAAATTCCGCTCTCCTTCTGAACAAGGGGCAGACCTATTGATCGGGGCAGGCGTCGGCCATTTCGTGGATCCAAGTATTGAAGATCACCTTCTCAAACTCTACTTCACGTGGGAAGAGCCTTCCATTCACGTCGTGGAGGAAGCCGTCTTTTGGCGGGAAAGAACGAACTGTAGGGCTGCAGGGCATTTCAGTTCCCTGTATTCAGAAGTGTTGACGAACGCCATGTATGTACCACGACCCCAAACCAATGCCCTGGAGGAGGATTCTCTTGGCTGAACCGTCATTCTAGGTGTTCAGTTGGAGCCACCATGACGACCAGATCGTACCCGCACCTGCCAGATCATCTTGCGGATTTCTTTGCCACTAGGTCGAAGCTACTGTTAGAGCTCGAACTCGACGCACCGACTCTCTCGACAGTTCAATCGCTGGTGATCCTCAGTGCCGTGGAGGCGCTACTCACTAGGGATGCTCGTGGATGGCTAGATAGTGGTTTGGAATGCCTCCGTGCTGTCCGCAAGCTGTGCTGATCCGCGCTTTCAGGGATGGCCGTCCGACTTGCTGTTGACCTTGGTCTGCATCTTGACCCGGAGCCATACGTACAAGCGAACCTGATCTCCGCCGAGGAAGGAATGATCCGCAAGGTGATATGGGCCGGCGTCTTCGTCCACGACAGGTGCGTTGACTATTCTCTATTACTTCCACATTCACTCATCACACGGCTATTAGGATGTGGAGTCTGTATGTCGGAAGGCCAGTCGCCCTCGATGACAAGCACATAACCGTCAAGTTCTCCACGCACGAGGACAATCCAAGCAGAGTGAGGAAGTACTGGTCGCCCTACACCGACAACGAGGGAACAGAGCTGCCTCGCCTGGTTGATTCAATCCAAGAGTTGAGCATATGGAATGTCAACTTGTGCGCGCACATGACCGCAATCAGAGAGAACTTGTAAGCGGGACATCGTCTTGCAGCAGCCTGGTACTGACGTATATCAGGTACCCCGATGGCATAACGGATCCGAAAAGCGCCAGACAGCTTTTCCAGTTTGCCATCCAGAAGGGTGATGACTTGCTGAATTGGCTTCACAGTCTCCCGACCAGCTTAGCTGTAAACGACATCGACAAGGACGCCTACTACCTTCCCCATGTCCTCCAGCTGCAGTAAGTCACATCTCCCGGCAAGGCTACGTTCACTCATGGCATTCAGTATGCAGTATCATACTATTCGAATCATCACATTCCGCCCTTTCTTCGCCTCTGTCAAGACGCTGCCGGGTTTGACCACAGCCGAGATTGCGACTGGGAGGAACCACTGCACGAGCTCAGCAAACTTCATGGCAAAGCTGATCCAAACATATCGCCGCCTTCACAGTCTTAGGAGGATCAATGTGCAAGCAGTCCATCTGGTGTTCACGGCCACCCTGATTCACGTCTTTACGGCCTGTGCAGCGACTGATCCGACTCGAAGTAACAATGCGTGGAAGAACCTGGAACTGTGCTGTCAAGCATTGAGTGAACTGGGCATGGCGTTCAAGAGTGCTTCAAGGGCACTTGAAGTAATCATGGGCATCAAGAGTGATCTACTAAGGAGATCAAAGGCGAAGATCAAGCGACAAAATCCATGGGATAACATCGCAGAAAATGCCGCACCAGCACCCTCTAAGAAGCGGCGACCAACGAATGCAGAAGGCGATCTCATACAAACCCATCAGTCGCCGCAAAGCCAGGGGAGCTTTGATTATGGGCTGAGCTTTGGCGAAACGGATCCTGCTTTCAGTTTGTTTGACACGGCCTACGACGACTTTTCTCTGGAAACACTCTTCTGGGGTGGCTACAACAACCTTGAGCTTCCTCACGTCCCGCCTCAAGATCCTTGACACCAAGGTGTCTGTCAACAGGCAGGGAAGCTGGCGTCGTCACGGCCAGACCTTTGGGGATCAGCAGGAGAAGATTCAGAAGGGAGCATCATAAACATGTACCATTGTGCCTTGTAGCCTTGGGGTTTATGGCTGCCCTCCTTCTTCCGACGCTTACAATTCTATAGCAGACCTGCATGTACGCCACCAGTCACAAGCACGTCCGCGCCGGTGGTATAAGCTGCCGCATCGCTGAGGAGGTATCCCACCACACCCTTCAGATCCGCTCGATCGCCAATCCTCCCCAGCGGAGGCGACTTGAACACTGTCAGGAGCTCTGGCCTTGTGACGGCAAGACCCTTCGTCATCTCGGTCGCAATGAATCCAGGAGAAACCGTATTCACGCGAATCCCGAGAGGTGCCAGTTCCACGGCCAGCTGCCCGCACAGGGATTTTACCGCACCCTTGGACGCAGCATATATATTCAATCTTTGCATTTGCAATGCCGTTCCGGCCGAGACCGAAGCGATCATGACGATGCTACCTCCGGTGTTTTGAGCTCGCATTTGTTTGGCGGCCAATTGAGCACTCAGCATTGTGCCCATGACCTGATCCTGTGTCAGCAGATGGCTCTGCACGTCGAGAAACTCCGAACTCACATTGACCTCGAGTATGCGCGCCCCCTCCTCCCAAGTTGTATCCAGGAAGGGTTTGTCGTGGACTATCCCCGCGGCTGTCACGCTTTGACTGGTATTAGCAGATATGGAGGCTCAAGGAGTTGACCATACCAATTGTCTATCTGACCAAAATCCTTCACTATAGCCTCAAACCCGCGGGTCAAGCCTTCAGGATCAGTGACGCTTGCCCTGGCAGCACAAGGGTCAATGCAGGCTCAATAATGCCACACCGACGAGGGAACGAACCGATAGTAACGAGCCCGGACTCCGAGCTCCTTTTCGAAATCCCCAAAGGCCTCGGATGGCTTCTCGAGAACATCGAGGACAGCGATATCACTGCCCAGCTCCGCAGCACCTCTCGCCAACGCCAACCCAATGCCTCGTGCTCCCCCTACATGGTTTTAGCAATACCGAATAACAGCTGCTGTGAACTTCGAACCTACCTGTGACAACAGTTACCCTGCCCTTCAAGGACATCATGTCCTGGATTGTTCTTGATCTATAAGCATCTTCGCTGGAAGCACCCAATTTAGTTACCGGGGCTTTGTTGCTCGTCGAGGTAGATCGAGTCTGGAAGCACTGCCCTGAAGGAACCTGGGTCAATCCAGCGTTCTCCATGAGGGCGTTCGGCCTGAGTTTGCTTGACAAAGGGGACGGCAGGCGGCTATAACAACGACTTCGGAGGCAGAACTGTTTGAGGTACATAATTGGCTCTGCAAAGCTCCAAGCTTAAATGGGCAGTGGTCGGTTATATGTGCCAGAGGAGAGTCAACAGAAAGGATCCGGGAAGACCAGCTGCCAGAACCGCCCAGGATCACACAGAGACAGACCGACAGTGTTGATGTCGTAGGGACGCGGTCAATATGCCAGTCTTCGCGCCCTGGATCGGGATGTCGAGGCCTCGGAGCAATCGAAGCTGGCGCCTCGCTTCTCCATTGAAGGCCTTCCGACGATTGAATCAACTTCCCCGGGTTTCGAATCCCGCCCGCGCCGGTCAAAGGTGCGGGGGTGGATAGGAATGCCCGCCAACCCCCCTGCCCTCGGCCAATCGCTCGCTTCCTAGATTCGAGTGGGCCTTACTAAGCCTGTGTGTCGGCTCTCCGTCTGTGGGGAGCCCAGGCCATGCTGGAGATACAAAGGCAATGTCGCGACCCGACAACAGGGCTCCGGCGATCCACCAGTTCTCTCACCTTGAAGCGGCGTCGAGAAGCGATCTGGCTATCATCGATCCATCCACCATGCAGTTCCTCCAGTCGTTGAAGGGTAGGACACTCTACCGGATCATGTCCATCTGTTGCTCGTTGGTAAGCACCGTGGCCCGTACCCACCCAGGCCTGGCTCCGCTGACTCTTCACAGTCCTTCTGTATGTACGGCTACGATGCTGGCGTGCTCGGTGGAGTCCAGACCACGGAGCCCTTCCTCGACGCCCTTGGTCATCCGACTGGAACCTATGTCATTCCGATGATTGCATCCTCGTACACCCTGGCAGCGGCGGTATGCTCATTGGCGGTGACGTTCCTCGGCATGCCGCTGGGCAGGCGAGGCTGTATCCTGATGGGCGATGCCCTGGTCATCGTTGGCGCCAGCATCCAAGCGTCTTCTTGGTCCGTTGCACAAATTATCGTCGGTCGGGTTCTTTGCGGATTCGGCATCGGGTTTATTTCCTGCAGTGTTCCTACCTACATGGCAGAGATGAGTATCACGTCGAAAGAACGAGGACCGGAAGTCGCCATCCAATGTGTCTGGCTGATCTCGGGAGTTGCGTAAGTTCATCTCACCAAGAGCTGTTCTTTCTGTCCTGTCTATCGTGTCCAACCGAACGTTACGGTACTGGAACGTCCGCAATACTAACGACTATGACAGGCTTGCCTACTGGGTCGACTTTGGCTTCACTCGCATGACCAATCAGGTGTCCTGGCGCTTTCCCATTGCATTCCAAGCCTTCTTCGCGACCGTCTCGATCATTGGCATGTTCTTCTTGCCTGACACTCCAAGATGGTATTACGCAAAGGGCCGGATCGAGGAGGGTGACAGTGTCGTGATGCGCCTTCATGACCGGCCCTTCGAAGACCCTGCCGTCCAGGCCATGCGCGACGAAATCCTGGCTTCGATCAAGCTTGAGGACGAAGACGAGCATAAGTTCAACCCTCTGGGTCTGTTGTGGGACCGGAGCGATCTCAAGGCTGGTCGCAGGATCAGGATCTCCTTCATGATCCTGTCACTTCAGCAGATGATGGGTACGTTGAAATCTGTCCGGCGGTCGTTGTCGTGATAAGTTGAATAACATTGCCGGCTCCAGGGATCAACTTGTCAGTCTACTACTCGACCGTCATCTTCGCGCAGGTCGGCCTCTCTCCCTTTCTCTCCCAACTACTCGCCGCGGTCATGAACACCGGGTTCGCTCTCGGGACATATCCCTTGCCCTGGACGATCGAACGAGTCGGTCGCCGCGGCGTGATGATCTGGTCCGCCGTCATATTGACGATCTGCATGCTCATCTTTGTGATTATGATCGGCTTGCCGAACCCTACTCTGACGAGACAATGGGTCGCCGTGGCGTTTGTGATCATATATAATTTTGTGTTTGGCTACGGATGGATTGGTGTGCCGTGGCTGTACGGTCCCGAGGTATGCACGCCCCTGGATTGGCAGTACTGATCAGTCGACCATCCGAGCCTGGCAAACCATAGTTGCTAACCACGACATCGTATCGAACAGATCGCCCCTCTCAAACTCCGCCATCTCGGTGGCGCGGCCGGCGCGTTTGGCGAATGGCTTTTCAGCTTCATCACCGTTTTCGCCGGAGGCATCGCCTTGCAGAACGTCGGCTGGAAGATCTGGATCTGGATGCTCTTGTCTTGTGCCGTTGCCGTGCCTTTTGTGTATTTCTTGTGTCCTGAGGTATGTTCTTTGCCAAAGTTGTATTCCGTGTGCGGTAAGCGTACGCAATACTGACCGTTCACCCCCGATATAGACGACCGGCAAGACGCTGGAAGAGATCGACTTTTTATTCGCCAGTCCGGAGATCCGAGACTCGGCTCTCGCAGCCAGGGTGATTCACGATCGACATGCAGACACGGTGCTGAAGAAGGATAACATCATCGAGTATGAAGAGAAGGAGGATGTGTAAGCTGGTGTATAAACTGGAAGTACAAAACTGGTGCTCAGTACAGTGGTCCTCAGCAGACGGACGTGATGTACAGGCTGGAAAGTACATAGCAGGATGTAGCAGCTATGAGGAGACAGATATATAAGCGGGAGAGCGGGAGAGCCATCATTCAGTAAATTCCGACATTGACGTTCGCAGTGATTATCCCTGTATACTATTAATCCGTCCCCGAGCGAGGAAGGAGAGGGAACAGTCTGCCCCAGTGCCGACTGGCTATCCCTTGACTATGATCAACACGAGCGGCCCACTTTAAGAGTATTCTAGTTTTCCGGCGATAAAGAAAATCGGAGTATTCTGCTATTCGTACCGACTTGCTCTTCCGTTGACTATAATCGACACGAGCGGTCCACTTCGAGGCGGCCCCTCTCGGACAGCAGGACATGGATGGGAACGACCATGGTCTGGCCAGCACCCTCGCGATGCGAGTCACGACCTGGCCCCTTTCGAGGTCAAGCCACTCGTTGTGTCGAAACCCACAGCCTTTATCGGGGCCCCATGCCGAGCAGGAAATCAAGTAATTACCTACACCCTGCCAGGACGTTGGTGGGCAGAACTTTGGTGGCTCCGTTGAAGTCGCCGATGGGGACAGCTTGCGGAAGAAGGGTGATGGAGTACCGACTCGGGGACAAGATCTCACGCATGAATACAAGGGAACGCAGTCAGCCAGGAGCCTGTGACGGAGTAATCATTGACTTGGACACAATATCTCTACGCTTGAATGTGAGGCCGTACGTGATCGACCAGACGCGCGACGATGACACTGACAATGTGCAGTGTGGCGAAGACATGTATCGGGACGTTCAGTACAGTGCCGTTTCCCGTGAGTCACCGCTGGAGGAGAGTGTGGACCGTGTTCTTCCCTGGTCAGCGAATTTGAAAATTCTGGATAGCCTGAGGAGGCCGCCGGACCTTCTAACGCAAACGCCAGGCTCGAGCCGGACCTGCTCGTGAGTCGTCTGTCCCTTGCTTCGTACGGTCGACCGGGAGTCTGCTTGTATTGCTCTCGTACTTTCGATCCGGAGGCTGCTTGTTTTGAACACGTACGTTCGATCTACAGACTGCTGGTTTTCGTGGTGCGGCCAGCATATTGATCGAGTGTTTCCGGCTCGTGGAGGAAGAGGACCCAAGATATGATCAAGCAGGGCTGCAGAGCTTGGTTCTCGTGGCATTTTTGGATTGTTCGGTCGTTTGGCGACCGACCCGAGCAGTGCATGCTAATCAAAGGTCTATTGGAATTGATGTTCGGTTATTGATCAATTATGAAGTGGTGTACAGGTGAGTACATTATCTTATAACTATTTCAAAGCCCCGTCGCATTCCCTCTCCCGGACGAGTCCAGCTCTGCCGCACCACGTGCTGCGAAAACGAATGGACAGACGTGGCGCTCCTGTCTGCTGTCTGTCATATGCCATCTGCCATATGCCATGCTCAGTCCAGATCCACCAGACCGAGGTCGACTACAGTAGCAGGAGAACGGCACGGGAAACCGAACGCGCGCAAGTCAAGCCACAGTTCTGTAAGCTGCTTTACGGATGTCCTGGCTTCGTAGCCTCCGCGATTTGCTTGCTCGCTTGCTTCCCCCCTAGAGATCCTCGTCACTCCGCATGCGTGCATGGACATCAAGCAGTCTTCGGGGCCGTGATGTGATGTGATGTGATGTGATGTGATGTGATGTGATGTGATGTGATGTGATACAGTCAATATTTGAACCCAACCACAGTAAACGAGCGCAGACAGTCGAAGATGCAGTCAAGTTGTGCGGTGCAGACGATCAGCCGCGGCCATGCACATACCACAGGAAGTGGCAGGCAGGCAGGCAGACAGGCAGGCAGGCAGCTCGTCACGTCAAGTCCTCCTGCGCGTCTCTTTTGTCTGACAATCACGAGGCGTGAAGCTGTTCCCGTATCCGGTCGTCGGCCAAAATGTCAAAGTGAGAGGACGAGTACAGTAGACAGACAGACAGACAGACAGACAGACAGACAGACAGACAGACAGACAGACAGACAGACAGACAGACAGACAGACAGACAGACAGACAGACAGA